CAGGAATACACTTTTTTTGCTAGATCACACAACTTACGAACATTTGTTCCTTCTTCCTAATGGAAGTGAATTTAGCAAATAATTTAGATAGCCTGCAATGTTAGGGTGTTCTGATTCCATATAGTGCTGGAGAAAAACCGTATACTTTAAACAGAGATTAAAAAGTGGCTGACTCAAGAACCAGAAGAGCTGTAGACAAGGATTCTGTTGGACATGGCTGAAACACACTCACAATCCATTTTTCTAGCTGTGGGGAAGCGCCTGTTCAGATAGCAACTGAGCAAGCTTAACTTCATTTTTTCTCCATTTTTAGAGAACTTCTTTATCAAGTACTTTTCTTTTTCTTTGTTATTTCATTCTTATTAGTCCTTGGTTGTGGGTTAGAATGGTTGGGATGAGAATTTGTTGTCTTTTACGGAGCAGTTTTTAGTTGTTGTTGTTGTTGTCACACAGTCAAGTCCAACTCTTCACGACCCCATGGACCACATCATGCCAGGCCGTCCTGTCTTCTGTTGTTGCTTTGACCATACAGACTTTTGCTGGCAGGGTGATATCTCTACTTTTTATTATGCTGTCTAGGTTTGCCATAGCTTTTCTCCCAAGGAGCAGGAATCTTTTAATTTCATGGCTGCAGTCACTGTCTGCAGTGATCTTGGATCCCAGGAACGTAAAGCCTGTCACTGCTTCCATGATTTCCCCTTCTATTTGCCAAGGAGCGATGGGCCAGATGCCATGATCTTAGTTTTTTTAATGTTGAGTTTCAAGCCAACTTTTGCACTCTCCTCTTTTACCCTCAGCAAGAAGGTCTTGGGGTCCTCTTCACTTTCTGCCATTAGAGTGGTATTGTCTGCATGTCTGAGGTTGTTGATGTTTTCTCCGGCAATCTTAATTCCGGCTTGTGATTCATCCAGGCTGGCATTTCGCACGATATACTCTGCATATAAATTAAATAAGCAAGATGACAATATACATCCTTGCTGTATTCCTTTTCCTATGCTAAACCAATCAGTTGTTCCACATCCGGTTCTAACTGTCGCTTCTTGACCCTTATACAGGTTTCTCAGGAGACATGTGGGGTGGTCTGGTACTCCCATCTCTTTAAGGATGTTTGTTGTGGTCCACAATCAAAAGCTTTAGCATAGTCAATGAAGCAGAAGTAGATCTTTTTCTGGTATTCTCTTGCTTTCTCCATAATCCAGCGAATGTTGGCAATTTGATCTCTAGTTTCTCTACCACTTCGAAACCCAGCTTGTACTTCTGGCAGTTCTCTATCCACGTACTGCTGAAGCTTAGCTGGTACGATCTTGGGCATGACCTTGCTAACGTGTGAAATGAGTGCAATTGTGCGATAGTTTGAACATTCCTTGGCATTGCCCTTCTTTGGGATTGGAATGTATACTGACCTTTTCCAATCCTGTGGGCACTGTTGTGTTTTCCAAATTTGCTGGCAAACTGAGTGCAGCACTTTAACAGCATCATATTTTAAGACTTTGAATAGCTCAGCTATGCTTGTTCATTTACTCACAGATTATTTTCAGTTATGTGTGCCATCTCATGACCACTGTGCTCAGCCCTATATACTTGATAATTTCTAGGTTTGCAATTCTGATATTTAAAATTTTTCTCATGATAATTCTATGAAGCTTTAGAGAAAGACTTACTGCTGGCTCCATTCCCCATTTCTGCCCCCTATTCTTCTGTTAATCCATTAGCCTTACAAATATAAAAGAAATATACGTGTGAAACTTCTTGCAGAGCCTTCTTCAGGGCCAGAGAAGTGAGAGAATCCCGAATACCAGCTCCTAGGTAACATTTCTGCTCATCTGGCCAGGCTGGTCACTAAGTAATGAGCTGATAGGAACTAAGGGGGTTGAAAGGACCTACTCTAGCAAAGGTCTAGGGTGCAAGGTGGGAAAGGCAAGTTCTGCTGAGACTGGTCAGCAGTACATGTGATGGTAGAGAGTAATCTTAAACCAGTTCCTTCCTCCTCCTTGCTCCTTTTGAGCTCCTGCCTAAGAATCAAACAGACGTGTCCCAGAGATCTGCATTTTGGGATCTCCCACTTTTAAGGGCAAAAGGCAGTTGCAGGGAAGCTGATTTGGATCAGGCTCATAGTACTGGAGGAGGGGGGATTCAAATATTGGTCTCAGTCAGTTTCTTTCTTGCGGCAGTTCTCTCTCGGACCTGTAATCTACCCCACAGGAAAATGAGCAAAGAGGTACTCCTGTGGTTCCTATATCTTTTCTCCTGTGGGGCAAACAGCAAGTCTGGAAGCTTGATTTCCATTGGGAAACAGGACATGGCTAAACTAGATAGGATGGAGATTTTTATTTATTTATTTAATTAATTAATTAATTAATGCAATTTCTAACCCCTCTCCTTGCACAGCAGGCTGTGAGATGGATGAAGATGCAAGCTGCAGTCATTTCTTCCTCCTTCCTCCTTCAGGGAGAAAACAACATCTCAAATAATCTCTGTGTATCAATTGTGAATATTTACATTTACTTAGAAGCAAGTTCTGTTGGTTTTCCCATTAAACTTATTTGAATTGTAGTTGCTTAAACTAGCAGCCTGACATTTCTTTCATGATCTTTCTAACTACTCTGCTTTCATGACTTTTCTCCCCTATGTTGCATGGATGTATCAGCAGACAATAAATAGACTGCATGGGTTTTTTTTACTGTTGCTTCGATTATTTTACACACTGGTTTACTTTTCCATTTATGGGTTCTTTAGGAGAGTGACTAGACTATAAATATTAAATATATCAGATATATAAATATTAAATGTATCAAAGAAAAATGTTATTTTCCAAGGGGGAAAGCTTATGAAAGCTGTGCTTTATTCCAAAGTTTCATATAGTGTAGATTCCCTTACCTCAACATGTATTTGAAATATGTGTTTAGACATATTTATACTTTTTACTAAGTTTTTTTACGTTCACATTATACTAATTCAGGTATTCCTAGAACATTAAATGTGAAGGTGAAAAGAAACTTAGTAGTCGCTAAGAAGGTATTACCTTATCTGCTTCCCCTCAAACAACTTGGATGTGCATCTGAACAACTGGTTGATTTTATTTTCTTGCAGAAATGGCAGTGCATTGAAGACACATCTGGCAAGCTTCGTATTCACAAGTGTAAGGTGCCCAGTGACATTCTTGCCATCAGAAAGAGAACACGAAGCATACACTCTCGAGGGTATAGCAGCAATGAGAACGAATGTGACTGTGATGAATCTGAGTACCGAAATAGCAGAGCCCAAAGAAAAAATCAAAGACCCTTTTTGAGAAATCCCAGTGTACAAAGTAAGTGAAAGAAGTAGATCATGATGTTAGTCTGATTGCTCTGAGTTATTATCAATATTAGGGAATATGAGATATTATAAAGTAGCAATAGGCAATAAGGGAACAAACACCTTTATATACAGGGGTCCCGCTTCCTCCAGAAGCACCAGAAATAGACACGGAGGCTAGGTGGCTAAAATAAGGATTTCTTTACTAAATATTTACTAATAACTAAATATTCTCAAGCACACAAACTATCATTAAACATTCATGCACACAATACAGACTTAAGGAAGCAGAGGTGATTGATAGCTAATGGAGGGGTGATACTACCTGTCCAGACGTGCAGAGGTCCATGAAGAAAGGGTGGTGACCCAAAACCCAGAGGGTTCCAGGGGTGGACTGCTAGTTGGCATCATGGCAGAAAACACACGGTCTAAAGGCCATGTGTTCACTGGGATATAGGCTTTGAAAAACAATGCAGACCAATGGGGGCTGGTCTCAGGTGAGAGCAACAGATTACCTGGACCAATGATGAGTCCCAGGGGTGTGTGGCATCAGGATGGGCAAGGCCTAGATGTGTCCAATGAGCTTCCAGAGAGGCAGGGTCTGGATTTAACAATAGAAGCCAGGTGTTGGATGACTGTACTGGGGGTGCCCATTGTGGAACAATAGAGTGGTCTGGCATTTCCCCTAGTGCCAGACAAAAGGACTGATGTTTCTTAATGTGTGGCAGGGTGAACCTGAGTGGCTGACCATTCACTAGACATGAAGAGTTAATGTTTACCTTGATAGGTCTGGCATAGGTGTAAGAATGCAGATATCTTAGACAAATGTATGGATACAGGGATGAGAGGATTATTCCAAATATACTTCCTGACAGGAGAGGGAGGTGGAAATATGCAACACACTTCATTCATGTCAATAGCACAGACCAGAGACTTTTTGTCTCTGCCTGCCTGTAAATAATAAATGGGAGCCACAACAGACAATGCACATGTGTGGGCAGAAGGCAATCTTACCTGTTCTCAGGGTGGCACCCTTAGAAGGCTTTGTTCAGATGAATGAGGCTGTTGCGATGAAACCCAGAGACAGTGGGAGAATACAAGCTGTTGTTTCCCAAGGGGCCACTTAGTTTGGTGTGCAGGTAACGGCTTGCTAAGTCTTTAATGTCTTGCCAAGTGCAGAAGAGAATTTTACAACATATGCACACTTAAAAAATCCAGATGAACAGTGTGTAAAATTCTCACCGCTTGGCAGAACATCATAGGACCAGTTCTCATTTGGCAGATCATCCTTGTTTGAGTTCCTCCTTTTTGGGAAGTAGTGCACCAGTGAAGGTACATTATATCTTTTCCCTGTAACTGTGTATTTCCTCACTACTTTGAGAGTCTTTCAGAAGCAGCATCAGAAGGCCATGGTGTGGCTGTAGAGCACAGTCTACATTCAGTGTTGCAAATCCATCAGTTAAGAGATGTCAGTAGGTGCTGGGAAAGACCTTGCTCTGTCTGAGACTCTGGAGAGTGGATGGTAGTTAGAACAGGCAATACTGAGCTATAGGAACTGATGGTCTGGGTCAGAATAAGTCCCTTTCATGTGTCGCTGATTGTTTCTATTTGAGCTGGCTTTTATCTGTGGGGGCCAGGGGTGTGCATTCAGGTCTACCCAAACCTAAAAGATATCCAAAAAACACTTTATCAGTATTTTTAGGATATATTTCGGCATCCCAAATGTATCCAGGGTAATTTGGAAGAACCAGAAAAAAATCCCCCCAAAAATCCCCTATATATTCGGGAATTATCGGCAAACCTGAACAACAGCTGAGGGGCTGGAGCATATTGCTCCTGCCTGTCAGCTGTTTTTGGGCTTTCTTCTGAAGTCCCGTTAAGCAGTCCCTTTCCCTTAATAAGAGCTGTTAAGTTATAGTTTATACATTGTGCTATATTCACTTCTTAGCAGTTATGTAAATACTTGTTATAGCAATGTTAACATTATTTACAAAAATTAATAAAAATATAATTTTTTTTTTTAAAAGCTCACAAAACAGCTGGGGGGAGGCAGTCTCCCTGCTGGCTCAGCTGGGGCTCTTTTGGGCTGTTCAACCAAACTGATGAAGAGAGCTTTAGCAGAGCCTGTGGGGAGAGTTCTCCTCACAGGATCAGCTGCTTTGTGGGCACTGTTGGGCAGTCTGGTTTAAACCAGGCTGCCCAGCAGAGTGCCAGCCCAGCCTGCAGTGAGAGTTCTGCCCACAGGATCGTATCCTTGGTGGGCTGTGCTGGGCCGTCCAGTTTAAACTGGGCTGCCCAGCAGAGCCCCAACCCAGCTGGTGGGAGAGTTCTCCCTGCAGGATCAGCTCCTTAGCGGGCTGTGTTAGGCAGTCTGGTTTAACTCAGGCTTTCCTGCAGAGCCCCAGCAGAGAAAACTCTTGCTGAAGGATCAGCTGCTTGGCAGGCTCTGTTGGGCAGTCTGGTTTAAAGGGATGGCCCAAAAGAGCCCCAGCTGAGCCGCCTCTCAGCTGTTTTTTGTGGCTTTGCCGCTGGTTTTTTTTGTTCTTGGTATTTTTCAGTTTGGGTCTATTGGGCCCAAAAAAATTCAAATCCCGGTTCCGAATACTTTACTGGTATTTGGATCTGGGTTTTTTCAGGAATCCTGACATTTTTTTGGGTCCAATAGACCCAAACTGAAAAATATACAGAGAGAAAAATTGCACATGCCTAGTGAAAAGCTGAGGTGGCTGAGGAATTATCTATACCAGTGCAGGGAGATAATGTCTGTTTAGATTGTTTGGATGAAGGTGTGTTGTGGTCAGAATGAACTTACTACCACCTGTCATCCTGTGTAAGTCCAAGGTCCAGCTTTCTGGTCTTTTGAAATAATACACAGTGTAGTTATCTAATGGTATGACTGTGTTCTTTTTGCAATATAGAATACAAACCCCGATTTGTTCACACTCGCCAGACTCGCTCCTTGTCTGTGGAATTTGAAGGGGAAATATATGATGTCAGCCTGGAGGAGGAGGAACTGCATGTTCTTCAGCCCAAAAGCATTGTTAAGAGGCATGGAAGTTACAGTGAGGAGGAGGAACCTTCAGAAGATACCACTGGCGATGAAGGAATGCTAGCAGATGGAATCAATGCTGTTGGCCAACCAAACTCTGTCAGAGTGACACACAAGTAGGAGTGCTTTTGCTGCTCTTATCATGATTGCTCTTCATTTATATGCACATGAAGCTGCCTGATACAGAGTCAGACCATTAGTCTAGTCTGACTGACGGTAGTTCTCCAGGGACTTGTGTAGAGGTCTTGCACATAATGTACTACCTGATCCTTTTTTAACTGGAGATGCTAGGGATTGAACCTGGGTCCTTCTCCTGCTGTGCTGTAGCCCCACCACAAAGCACAATCAGTGTACACAGAGCTTTACAGAGTAGGATGCCACAGGACTAGTGTCCCATATATCAGTCTTTGCCTTCTTTTTTTTCTGTAATAGGAGCAGTGGTTGACCAGATTGCTCCATACCAGTTGACTTTTATAGGATTCTGGAAATGCAGCAACACTTGTTATTGTTTAATTTCACCACAGTTGCACACACCAGGCTGCAATAACTAATATGCCCAAGATTTCCTCAGGTCATTTTCTTCTACCTATTTTGTCTTTGTAGGTGCTTTATTCTTCCAAATGATTCCATTCACTGTGAGAGGGAACTGTACCAGTCAGCCAGAGCCTGGAAAGACCACAAAGCCTACATTGACAAAGAGGTGAGAAGACAATTTCCTTCATTAAAAACCTGTACTTACACCTTACCGTGCAATAATGTAGCAAAAATAATCACCTAAATTTTGCACTGGAAAAATGAAATATCTAGGTTTAAATTCCTCCATATCCAGAAACTCATGGGATGGGATGGCCATGGATGGGTCATCATCTCTCAGTCTGAATTAGCAGCTGAGGGCAATAAGTGGCAGTTTTGATGTGGATAACAGTGTTAGCAGTGCTAAAAGGTACGATATAAAATCCTCCTCATTATTCCTGCATATTAATGCCATTTGCAGATTGAGGCTCTCCAAGATAAAATCAAGAATTTGAGAGAAGTGAGAGGACATCTGAAAAGACGAAAACCTGATGAATGTGATTGTAGCAAAAAGAGGTAAAGAGAATTGTATTTTTGTATGTTGGTTGTGCATGTGCAACATACGTATATAGGTATGTGAATAATCCCAGTGTACAGTGATTTTTGTAGCTTAAAGTGTTGTTGCTGTTGATGTTATTGTTGTTTAGTTGCACAGTCGAGTCCGACACTTTGCGACCCCATAGACCACATCACGCCAGGCCCTCCTGTCCTCCACTGTCCTCCGGAGTTTGCTCAACTCCATGTTCATTGCATTGATAACACTGTCTAACCATCTCATCCTTTGCGTCCCGTTTTTCTTTTATCTTCAGTCTTTCCCAGCATCAGGGTCTTCTCCAGTGAGTGCTCCCTTCTCATTTGGTGGCCAAAGTATTTGATCTTCAGCTTCAGTATCTGGCCTTCCAGGGAACAGTCAGGGTTGATTTCCTTTAGGATTGACTGATTTGATCTCCTTGCAGTCCAAGGGACTCCAGCACCATAATTCAAAAGCAGCTATTCTTCAGCGCTCAGCCTTCCTTATGGTCCAGCTCTCACAGCCATACATTACTACTGGGAATACCATTGCTTTGACCATACAGACTTCTGTTGGCAGGGTGATGTCTCTTCTTTTTATTATGCCATGTAGGTGTTGTAGCATAACCCTGCTTCTATTCCGATTCATTTTCCCTTCATTTAATCAACTTCAACTGTATGAAATGCCATATGCAACAGACATATTTGTGGAGGGAAACTTGAAATAAGTGTTCCCAATAAATTCAGGATAGACCTTTTGGTTTTCTAAAAATACATTTTTATGTAATGAGTTTGGACTATATTAGTTGCTGTAGTGTATATTTCCATTGATTGGATGCTGTGGATCTGTTCCACGGGCAGCAGTGCTTTCCTCTGGAGTAAGGAGCTTTCCTTTAAGATTCTCTTTTTGCCGGGGAGGATTCATTGCACCAGAAGAAGGTGCAATTGGTAGCAGAATGTGTCTGTGGGATCTAACCCAATATTTTATGATTATGTGATGATGTCAACAGTAAACTAAATTCCTTTGTATAATAGCATTTGACATAAGTGGTTGAAATAGTTTAGTACCTGATACTGTATGCGTTTGTTATGAAGCTACTAATGTAATGACTTTTATACAGCCATTTTAAGAAATTGAAACACAATATATGATTTAAGAGTTAATATTATGAAAATTTTATTTTTGTCATAATGTTTCCTTTCAGCTATTACAGCAAAGAAAAGGGAGTGAAGGCTCAAGAAAAGCATAAGAGTCACCTTCATCCCTTCAAGTAAGCCCCTCTCATTCATCTTCTCCTTTACTGCAGTGTATCACTAGCCCTGTTCACAAGTTGCAGTGAACACACACGCATCTGTTTACATACGACACGTGTACAGTTGAATATGTGATTGAAGCAGCACATATATCCAGGTACTGGTCCACAGTTTCATTTGCAAAATGAATGCTTGTTGCCTCTTTCTTACAAACCAGGGTATGAATGTGTATGCATATTGTATGAGTGTTCACTGTAACATGTGAACAGGGCATATGGGCTACTATGGACAAATGAATTTTTGTGTTATATTTGATGATGAAAATAGCAAATATTCATACAACGGTGTGGAATCTGGTTACTTTTTAAGATTCTGTATTTTGTTTTGATTTGTCCCCTCTACATCTTAGGACTCCTCCCAGCACAAGATACATCATGTTTATGACCTTTGTGTTCAGGAACATGTTTTGGAAGTCCACCCCCCCCTCCTTTGAGGCATAATCGTATTAATAAGCTGAAGGCTGTAGTTAAATACCAGCGTATGGTACACCCACTGTAACCCATCATTATGGAAAATGTAATTACCAGTTGACTTTTTTCTCTTGTAAATTACCATATAGTCACCTTTAGTGCAAAGACCACCTGAATCACCAATTTATGGTTCCTGTGATGTTCCTGTCTTTGGACACTATGCAGTATGTGCTATTTCAGCTTTGTTTCAGCACTGTTTCAGTTTTAGTAATTGACCTTAATAATGTTAGTAGGAAAGCTGTGTGTGACCTGAACATACCAACAAAAAGAATGAGAGCCAATATCACCTCTGTGGTGGCCACTGAAAACTTATTTCACCTTTTTGGTGATATTGCAGTGGGGAAGTAAGACCTGTGCTGCTCACACAATATATGAAGTGCCTTATGTTGATTTGTCACAGTCAGTATCGCATTCTCTGACCAGTGGCAGTTCTCTGGGGTCTCAGTCACAGAACACCTGTCAGTCACTTGAGATAATTTACCTGGAGATGCCAGGGATTGGATCTGAGGCCTTCTGTATGCAAAGAACGTGCTCTGCCACTGAGCTGTGGTCCATGCCATTGCATGAAGTGTTCATATGCCAGCATTAGGTTTCCTTTGCTCAAAAGCTAGTCAAATGCGACTCTAGGGAGTGGTGCTCATATCCATTTCGAAGCCAAAGAGCCAGCGCTGTCTGAAAATGTTTCCGTGGTCATGTGGCCAACATGACTAAATGCCAAGGCACATGGAACGCTGTTACCTTCCCACCAAAGCAGAACCTATTTATCTACTTGCAATTTCTTGCTTTCGAACTGCTAGGTCGGCAGGAGCTGGGGCCACAGACAGGAGCTCACTCCATCAGGTGGCACCTGGGTCTCAAACTACTGAGCTACAGACCTTCTCAGCCAGCATTGCCTGGGTACAAATAATACTGGAATGTGGATGCTTCACACATTTACAGTAATACATTTAGTGGTGGTGGAAAGTACCATCAAGTTGAAGCCTACTTATAGCAACCTGGTAGGGTTTTCAAGGCAAGGATTTTCAAGGGTTTCAATAGCAAGAGCCAGTTTGGTGTAGTGGTTAAGTGCACGGACTCTAATCTGGGAGAACCAGGTTTGATTCCCCACTCCTCCACTCGCAGCTACTGGATGACCTTGGGCAAGCCATAGTTCTGTCAGAGGTGGTCTTGAAAAGAGCAGTTTCTGTCAGAGCTCTCTCAGCCCCACCTACCTCACAGGGTGTCTGTTGTGGGGAGGGGAAGGGAAAGGAGTTAGTAAGCCGCTCTGAGACTCCGAGTGAAGGGTAGGGGATAAATACAATCTCCTCTTCTTCTCTTCTTCAAGCCATGCAGAGGTGGTTTGCTATTGCCTGTCTCCACATAGAGACCTTGGACTTCCTTGGTGGTCTCCCATCCAAATAATAACCAAAACCAACCCTGTTTAACTTCTGAGATCTGCCAAGATGGGGCTAGCCCGGGCCACCCAGGTCAGGGCATGCATCTAGTAGCAGCATTTAAATATTGCTACCTGCCATATGAATTGCTTGCTCAGGAAAGCAAGTATAGGTGGAACTCAGAGACAAACCAGTTCTGCTCTTTCTCCTGCAATAAAACATGCTTTTACGTGTACCATTAGAGACTAAATGAAGATTTATCATGATGCCCTTATTTATTATATGTGCTTGCATTTTACTAGGGAAGCAGCCCAAGAGGTGGATGGCAAGCTTCAGCTCTTCAAAGAGAACCGCAGGAGGAGGAAGGAAAGAAAGAGCAAAAAGCGCCAGAAGAAAGGAGACGAGTGCAGCCTTCCTGGACTCACTTGCTTTACTCATGATAACAATCACTGGCAGACAGCTCCATTCTGGAATTGTGAGGACCATTTCTAGCAGATGCATGTGGGTGGGAATGGGGGAGGGGATAAGCACTTGAGGGCTTGGAAGACACTGGACACACTGGACACAGCTAGTTCCCCTACTCTGCGCACAGTAATAATCATTATAAGGAAGGCAGTTTTCCAGGAAAGTAACCTGAACTCGGCCGTGGCCATGGGCTCAAACGGCTTAGACATCAGTTGAGTGAGAATGAGAGAGAGACTCCACGAAGGCACCAAAGGCTTCCTAGGGGGACAAAGGTGGAGGAGACCTTGAGGAACGACTCCTGCACCCTGCCTCTAGGGAACCAATGGGACATTGGCGGGAGGTTTGAATGGGCCAATGGGATTCCGCAGGGGTTCCCCAGAATGTATATAAGCGGCTGCTTGGCCGTTGGTAGGGGTGCGTGTTGTGTACTAAGAAAGTGTGCTGTGTACTATGCATGCCTCAGCAGTTCTTCCATGCGGCTAACCTACTACACAACAGAAAGCTAGACATATCTATGAGGGAATTAATGCAGTAGTGTGACTGTGCTTTCAGATGCAAAAACACTTCCCCAAAAGCATTGTACTCTTAACAATGCATGAAAGCCCGAACACAGAAGGCTGGTCTGTTTTTCTGTGCATGCATTGCCCTTTCTAGATGGGGGTGACCTGATATGCACTGCTATAATTTGTTTAAAGTTGTCTTCTTCCCTTTCAACAGTGGGATCATTTTGTGCTTGCACAAGTTCAAACAACAACACTTACTGGTGTTTGCGAACAGTTAATGAAACGCACAACTTCCTCTTCTGTGAGTTTGCTACAGGATTCTTGGAGTATTTTGACATGAACACTGACCCCTACCAGGTACATTCATTTTGAAAACTATTTAGAAACAAGGCATCATCCTCAAGTCAGTTAAGTTTGTGTGCTTGTATACAAGGCTAAGGATCTCTGATGAAGTGCCACTGGTCTACTGAATTTTGATATTGTCTCCTCTGACTGGCAGTGGTTCTCCGGGTTGTTAGACAGACAGAGGTGTTTCATGACCTTCTACCTGGGATCCTTTTAGAGGACATACCAGAGGTGAAACATGTGGCCTTCTGAATGCAAAGCACATCCAATGAACCATGGCCCCTCCAGTGTGACATGATGTACTTGTCTTTTGATGCCAACTGCAGCATGGAGATATTAATAGATTTGGTGTGGAAATACTGTGATGCAAATATTATGTACTAGGCACCCATAAATTGGCTTCAGTGCAATTTGTGTGGGCTTATAAATACCCTTTTTATCCAATCCCATATTAGACCATAATAAAATCATATTTTTTTTCTATCTGTGTCAAGCTGACAAATACAGTACATACTATAGAAAGAGGCATTCTGAACCAATTACATATACAACTCATGGAGCTACGAAGTTGCCAAGGTTATAAGCAATGCAATCCAAAACCAAAGGGACTCAACACAGGTAACAAAAATTTCTTTTAAGTTGCTTTGAATTTCTTTAAGGTTCTTTTTCTTTTGCCAACTACAACAAAGATGTGGTAAAGTGTGCCTTGTGAAATGTCTTATGCTTTCAGTATGACTGACAAATGGTGCTGGTAATACTTTTGGCAGAGGCTTGGTGAACCTGAAAGCCAAAATACAAATGACACTTTACTGTACATAGAAAGGAATGCATAATAGCTAAATCATCACAGAAGCAAGCTGATCTGATTTTACTTTCCATAAAATATTTTGACATTATGCTCTGGCTTCCGATTTGTAAAATGTTATGTTTGACAAGGCTTAATTGAGCTGGAATTCAGTAGGCCCACCCGGCATTCCCCCTCCAATTTTGAGGGCCAACCTTGGACGTGTGATATCATAACCCAGAACACAGGTCCTCAGAATGGCGCAAAGTTCTTTCCTCCACTTATAAATCCATTTGATCCTAGCACACCTGAAAATGGGGATGCAACCAAAGACTTCTGGATAGGCTCGAGCTCATGATCTCCTCCTTTTAAAATGCTGTCAGGCCTTCCTGTTCGGTTAGCTGTTCATATTCATTTTAAGCTTCTCTGTTGCTACTCACTGTTTTTCATGAACTGTTTTTCCAGAACTCTGTTCACCTGGTATTCCCACAAAGCAGAGTGACACCAGGTACCATCTTTTTAACATGTATTTGTGAGTAACTCGGTCCTCATTTGGCCTATGACAAAAGAGGAATAGGCGTAATCTTCGTGGGGGCGGTGGGGCGTCAGCCCCCGCCAAAATTTTCAGGAAGGTGCTCAGCCTCCCCCGGGAGCCACCCTTGCTCCTAGCAAAGCAATGCCTCTGGCTCAGCCCCAGCCCCCCCCCCCGGGAAATTGGAAAGTCTACACCCTATCAAACTTCATCAAGTGTAACTACTGAGCCCCAAGCCAAGGGTTGCCAATCTCAAGGTAGCACCCCGAGATCTCCCACTATTACAGTTGATCTTCATATGACCAAGACTAGTTCCCCTGGAGAAAATGGCTGCTTTGGAGGGTGGACTCTATGGCGTTATGCCCTGCTGAGATCCCTCCCCTCTCTAAACTCCTGCCACCCCAGGCTCTCCCCCTCCCCAAAATATCTCCAGGTATTCTTCAACTCAGAACTGGCAACCCTACCCAAGCCTCTTACTTGGATCCTTGTCCAGCAGCCCCTCCCCAAGGTGCTATTTATCTCATGATCAGGAGCATGTTAAACTTCACTTCAATTGACTCAGATTTTTTTTAAAAAAAATCTCTCAGTTTTTCAAAATTTTTGCTCTGTTTCTTTTACAAAAGATAGTTCTCTCTCTTAAAATTAAGATAGTTCTCTCTCTTAAAATTGACCACATTCACTTTTTTCTGCTTTAGGATAATTCTTAGAGCATCCCTTACCGGGTATCTCGGTTGGACTTTTGCTTTATCTATTTATAACACAATAAATTTCTTTTTAGGAATTAGACGCTGTGCATGGAAAGCTACATTGTGAATGATTTTTACCAAATCTAAACACTAACAAAAGTTACTCTTGTATTTTCCTATATCAGGAAATAAAGATGGAGGAAGCTATGATCCACACAGGTATCCAACCCTTTATTATTCTCCTCAGCAGCTTCTTTCCAAATAATTGCATGTCCCAATCCATTTCGACTAATGTCTGCATTCTGCACATTGCACCTTGTGTAGATTTTGCTGAATGTGAGCACCTAACAGTGTTCTTCACCCAGCCACTGGTTTTCACCAGTGTTGTTCACCTGGCCACTTAACCAATTTACATTTAGCATTGCACGCACTGCAACCCCATGCAGCTCATTTTACATTAATCCTGCTGTGTTAGGAAATTCATTCACCATCTTAAACCAGGGGTGGGGATTATGGCACATTTCTCTGACTTTTTTATCGCTTGTGAAAGTGGACATGCCTGTTTTTGTTACTGTAATATACCTTTCCCTAGATCTTACATTTTAAAATATGCTCACAAACAAATCCTTGGTTGTTACGGTCACTATTTGCAACTACTCTCATATGGCAGTTAAATATGTCATATGTCATACAATCCACTGCATAATTGTTGACTAAGTGGTGTATGAATTGGTCTTTTCAAACCTGTGTTTATACAGGTACTGTCTTCCAAGATTTGGACCTAAGCCAGGGTAGCTGGATACTTAGGGCCCATTTTCACAAGTGACATGTAAACCATATTTTTGCATGTAGCACAAATGAAAAGTTTGTACTGAATGGAATACTGTGTGTGTGTGTTAAGTGCCGTCAAGTCGCTTCTGGCTTCTGGCAACCCTGGAAACTCTGTGGGCTGTAAAAGGCTTGCTTTCAGATAATACTTGTTTGAGTGAATCGATGAAGAGGTGTAATCATACCATAGTGTTTCACAGAACTGTTTGCAGCATGTTTGTAATGTTAGAAATAACTCCTACAGGTTTCCTGCTGTTCCCTGCAAGTAGCTTGCAACTGCTACTCTAATTCCTACCGTGGCTCTTACTTTTCTCTCTAGTAGCAGACGTTTGCTGCCTTCTTTTCTCCAGCGTATTTGTCTGCCTCTGAGCAGCTCCAAAATTCCATTGAAGCCGATTTCGTAGAACAATCCAATTTCCAAAGTCCATAGTGGGAGATTTTCCTAGTGCTGGAAGCCTACATATATGCAAAATTTAACTGGAAACCTTTCATATATAGGAATAATTCACAGTTGGGTGTGCTCATACAGCCTGTTTAATGGTCTTGTACATAAGAGATGAAATATGCTTATGGTTTGACAGGATGTAGTACGGTGCAGATAGGCACTGGAAGAAGCTATGATTTTAAACAGACCCCTTATTTACTGTTTTGTGATATTTATATTTATTTATTTATCTCATTTATTTATTTATCTTTGAATTTATATCCCGCCCTACCCCGAAGGCTCAGGGCGGCTAACAAGAGGCACAAAGTGCCAAGATTAAAACAAATAAAAACAACATAGCATAAAACAATAAAATACAATAACAAAATCTCAGTGCTCCATTTGTCACAAGATGGGGTAGATCGTAATCCCAACGGTAACATTCCCATAGTCTGTCATCCCTCCTCCTGCCAGGGTCACCTCGCATCCCGAAGGGACCAGATAGTGGTGGTGATGGTGCGATGGTGTGTAGATAGCAATGATGGAGTAGCCTGGCGGAAGAGCTCCATCTTGCAGGCCCTGCGGAACTGAGAAAGATCCCGCAGGGCCCGGATCTCCTCCAGGAGCTCCTTCCACCAGGTAGGAGCCGCCACCGAAAATGCCCTGGCTCTGGTCACTGCAAATTTAATGTCCCTGTGGCTTGGAATTTCGAGGAGATGATTACTCCCTGACTGTAGTGCCCTTGGGGGAACATATGGGGAAAGTCGGTCCCTCAGGTAGGCTGGACCCTGACCATAAAGGGCTTTAAAGGTAAGAACCAGCACTTTTAAGCGAATCTGGTACGCTATTGGCAGCCAGTGCAGCGCTTTCAGCACAGGCTGAATGTGGTCCCTCCTAGAGAGACCCATCAACAGTCTGGCTGCAGCATTCTGCACTAGCTGCAGCTTCCAGATTTGTGACAAAGGCAGCCCCATGTAGAGAGCGTTAGAGTAGTCTAGCCTCGAGGTAACCGTCGCATGGATCACAGTGGCCAGATCATCGCAGCTAAGGAAGGGGACCAACCGCCGAGCCAGCCGAAGATGATAAAAGGCCTACTTGGCAGTGGCTGCCACCTGGGCCTCCATCGTTAGAGAGGAGTCCACGTGCACACCTAAACTCCTAACCTCTGATGCTGGCACCAGAGGCATCCCATCAAAGGTCGGGAGAGGGAGCCCCAACCCTGAACCGATCCGACTCAGGCCCAGGACCTCCGTCTTTGCTGGGTTTAGTTTCAACCGACTCATTCTGAGCCACCCAGCCATAGGCTGTAACGCCCGATGTAGGTCATCTGGGGCAGAGTCTGACCGGCCGCCCAGCATCAGATAGAGCTGGGTGTCGGCATATTGATGACACCCAAGCCGACAACTCCGGGCAATCTGGGCAAGGGGGCGCATGTAGATGTTAAACAACATCGGGGACAGCACGGCCCCCTGAGGCACCCCACACTCAAGGGGATGTCTCTGGGACCGCTGGTCCCCTATCGCCACCTTTTATCCCCGACCTTGGAGAAAAGAGGCAAACCATTGAAGGGCAAGCCCCTGAATCCCCGTGTCAGCAAGGCGGTGGGCCAGCAACTGGTGGTCGATCGTGTCGAACGCAGCCAACAGATCTAACAACACCAGCTCTGCCACACCACCCCGATCCAGGTGCCTACGGAGATCGTCAGTCAGGGCGACCAGCACTGTCTCCGTCCCATGACCCGGGCGAAAGCCGGAGTGGTAGGGATCGAGGACAGAAGCATCCTCCAGAAAGCTCTGTAGCTGTAACGCCATCGCCCTCTCGATGAGTTTGCCCAAATAGGAAGTTAAGATACAAGCCATGCAGTGGACCCATAATTGCTAACAGAGTGTGCTGATTACATGTAGTTAGATCACTCAGAACTTTTCCTTTCCTACTGTCCTCCCTACCTTCACTGAATCTGATTCCATTAATGTTTTCTCACATGTAGATCCCATTGTCTTCAATGGGGCTTATTTTCAGATAATAGTGTATCCACTGGATTGCAGCTTCTCTCAAAGAATCCCTCCAGCTAGGCAAGTCAGATCTCTCAAGAAAAAGGTTAGCCTTGATCTCCAACACATATTATCTCAGGCATTAGATGATTATTTTGAAATTTTGCACAAAAGAGCTCTTGAATGTCAACACTTCACAATGCTTTTACTATAATTAATGTGACAAGAGCTTGATTTCAAGCTACAAATTAGCAAATGTAATAGAGGCTTTGTTAATCTGGTTGTGACGATTCATGATGGACATTAACTACAGAGCTTTGTGCTGTTGAATTCCACCACAAATTGGGCTGAAAATCAGAACATATTGCAGTTA